CTGCCTGGTCATAGTACTCTATGATAATCAGTCTATAGGCTGTCTCGTGTATAGACTCTAAAGGCTATACATAGTCATAAAAAGGAGGTAGGAGGGTGTTCTTAATGCATCAGATGAGTTATTGTTACAATGTTTATCTTGAGTCTTTTGTGTCCTTTTCACATTTTTTTATACTATATTTTCTTTGGCATATTGCATATACATATCTGTAGGTACTCTATAAGACTTATCTATTGTGGTTTGGAATATCTTCTTTTATCCCCTTTCTTTAGATCATGCCACAGCATCTCAATGGGTTTGAGGTCAGAACTCTTGACTACTATAATACAGAACAATGACTGTAAGGCAAGCCTGCCCTACAGATTCATATTTGTTTTAGCAGATTACTTAGGCTGAAGGTAGGAAGGTTAGGGATAGTTAAGATATAAAGCTATAAAAAACAGGTCCTGTGGTGCTTTGGTTAAGGTCACTAAATTTGAAGCCAGCCTGTTAGATCAACATGCACCTTTGTTTTATGGAGATCAGCATCATGTTTTCAGGCATCCAGGTAGATCTCCATTTTTATACTCTCAGGATTGTTGTGGATTTCTTTGAAAGTACAGATACAGCTTCCTGTCTCTAGTTAGTCAGTGAGGCCTAATTCAAAGACACATCCTGCGGTATGGTAGATCGGACACCCAACGTATATTGGAACTGTCTTGATTTATTGGATGATTGACACGAATATTTATAATAGAAAAGATGCAAATCTTATAGACTTTGTCATTGGTCAGATGCTGGTGACAATGGATGATAATTTCAGGGGATTTCTGGACTTTCCACTATTTCTGAATATTTATATATACTTAGATGTCTCAAGAGTATGAGTAGAGCATCTTCAAGAGCGGTGGTCTCCAAACTTTATAAACAAAGGGCCAGTCTATCAAACTTTAGGGGGGCCAGACTGTGGCCAGTGGGAGTAGAAATTGACCATTAGTGGTAGTAAACAATGCCCCATCATTGGTATTAGGGGGAGGAATAGTGCTCCTTCATTGGTATTAGGGGGAAGAATAGTGCTCCTTCATTGGTATTAGGGGGAGGAATAGTGCTCCTTCATTGGTATTAGGGGGAGGAATAGTGCTCCCTTCATTGGTATTAGGGGGAGGAATAGTGCTCCTTCATTGGTATTAGGGGGAGGAATAGTGCTCCTTCATTGGTATTAGGGGGAGGAAAAGTGCTCCTTCATTGGTATTAGGGGGAGGAATAGTGCTCCTTCATTGGTATTTAGGGGGAGGAATAGTGCTCCTTCATTGGTATTAGGGGGAGGAATAGTGCTCCTTCATTGGTATTAGGGGGGAATAGTGCTCCTTCATTGGTATTAGGGGGAGGAATAGTGCTCCTTCATTGGTATTAGGGGGAGGAATAGTGCCCCTTCATTGATATTAGGGGGAGGAATAGTGCCCCTTCATTGGTATTAGGGAGAGGAATAGTGCTCCATCATTGGTATTAGGGGGAGGAATAGTGCTCCATCATTGGTATTAGGGGGAGGAATAGTGCTCCTTCATTGGTATTAGGGGGAGGAATAGTGCTCCTTCATTGGTATTAGGGGGAGGAATAGTGCTCCTTATTTGGTATTAGTGGGAGGAATAGTGCTCCTTCATTGGTATTAGGGGAGGAATAGTGCTCCTTCATTGGTATTAGGGGGAGGAATAGTGCTCCTTCATTGGTATTAGGGGGAGGAATAGTGCTCCTTCATTAGGTATTAGGGGGAGGAATAGTGCCCCATCATTGATATTAAGGAGGGGAATAGTGCTCCTTCATTGGTATTATGGGGAGATATAGGCTCCACCATTGGCATTAGGAAGAGGAATAGTGCTCCATCATTAAGATTAGGAGGAGGAATAGTGTCCCATCCTTTGGTATCAGTGGGAGGAATAGTGCCTCATCATTGCTGTCAGTAGGAGAAATAGTGTCCCATCATTGGTGTCAATAATAGTGTTCCATCATTGGTGTCAATGGGAGGAAGAGTGCTCCATTGTTGGTATCAATGGACGGATTAGTGCCCCATCATTGGTGTAAGTGGAAGGAAGAGTGCCCCATCCTTGGTGTCAGTGGGAAGAATAGTGCCCCAAAGTCTCTGTGAGTGGAAAGAATAGTGCTCCATGATTGGTGCCAGTCACAAGAATAGTGCTCCATTGTTGGTGTCAGTGGAAGGAACTATGCCCTACTGTGGCTGACAGTGGGGGGAAATAATGCCCCAAGGGACCAGAGAAAAGCAAGAAAAGGGCTGAGCCCTCAGGCCACAGTTTGGAGACCACTGTACTAGAGCATATAGCAATTATAAAATCAGTAATTATTCTAAAGGTATATCTTGCCCCCACAGGATAAGTATTGATAAGTTTTACTACACTTAGCCTGCCTCCCTCCAACTTGGAAATTAATTGAAGTGGATTACAGTTTAATGTAAATAATCTTTCCAACAAAGCTATCACACAGGGGTTTAAGACAGGCAAATGCTTGGCATCATATTGTAATGTAAGTGAAATGTGTTGCGCTGGCCCTAAATGGCCCAAATTTCAGCCGATTCAGCAAGAAATTTAAGCCATTGGTTGGCCCTGCTGGATGAATTTCGATTGACAGGTAGAAAAATTGTTGGTTAAATAGTGACTGTGTCCTATCAGATGCTGTCACTGTTCAGGTATTCAGACAGTCGCTGGTGCTGTGGCTGTTTGAGAACAATAGCTGGCAGGTTGTTTATCGTGGATGGAGGAATCCATTGGATTTCTTCCAATCAGCCCATTGGCCAGATAAGGGATTTCTACGCATGCACAGTTAGCATTAGTATACATTTGCATTGGAGGCAAGCTTTTTTGCTTTGCTTCGCTGTGATTTGGATGCTGCAAGCAACATTCACCAGAAGTTGAAGCTTGTGGACACTTCCTGATGCCTGCAATCCAGGGGCGGACTGACAACTCATGGGGCCCCCGGGCAATAGGGGATCATGGGGCCCCTGTGTCCTTGGCCAAACTCAAAAAAAGCCAATGAAAAAGGTACCAGGGGCATCTCATGGGGCCCCTTACTGACCCCGGGCCCTCGGGCAGTGCCCGAGTTTCCAAATGTCAGTCCGACCCTGCTGCAATCCCTGCCTAAACACTACTAAGTGTGTATAAACTCTCACATATACCCAGTGAAGTGACTGGCCTCAAGTGACACACAGAGATAAAAAAAAAAAAAAAAAACATAAGTTGTACCTGTTTATCTGCACCCCACTTTTCTCCAAAGCTATTCTAAGTGCAGAATTTAGACAGCATTTCTGTACTTCAGCACAGGGGTCAGGAATCTGATGTATCACACTGCACAAGCATAGAGCAGAGTGTAATCTGAAACCTGAGTGGAGTGAATGGAAACACCCTGCTCTGCACAGTCTCATAGGGAAATATGCACAGCTGAGGCTGTCAACCACCTGCTGTGTGCTGGAGGGGGGACAGAGCCACCCCCTGGGATCCCTTGATGTCGGCATAAACCGTTAGAAGTGGCTAATGAGGATAGCAGAGGAAGGAGGCAGCAGGCAGAAATCACACTAGGTGCTTAGGATCAAGGCAAGCAAACACTATAGACGGATATGCTTTGTTCATTTCTCTTTTGAGATTTTTTACAACCAAGAAGTATCTGATGTTGATTGTCTATGATTTTGGAAGCCACGGTCGATATAAATAACTGTCCACAGGCATCACAAAAGAGTTTGCTGAATGTATCACAAATGTATGTCAAAAACTGAACACAAGAGATGTTTGGAAAACTCTGATACCTAACCCCCGTGTGAACTAACCCTCAGTCTTCATTCTTGTCTGTCTGTGGACAGCTGTGAATGTTCCAGGATAGGCTTTGCCGGAGCAGACAGCTACCGGAGTATACATTGCCTTATATAGACTTTGGCTCTTTGTGCTCTCCGACACCCTCACAATGTCGCTGCACCCACTTAGAGGGAAGAGAAGTTGCTAACAACCAGGGGATCTGTTTTCCCAGATAAAATATGGGGTCTAACACAAACTCACATTTTAAAATGTCCAATAATGTTCAATGTGCTAGGGGGTGTAAGCCAGCATACTGGCATTTCTTGTACTGTTGTGACTTTACGTGTTCTTGGAAAGATTACAGTAATGCAGGACAAATTATCATTTCACATGTCATTCCTAAGGCATGTGGCGGTCATGTATTATCCGTCCCTGTACGAAACAGCACAGCCATGACTTCTCACTACTGGATTCCAGTGATTAACATTCTTTTGAATCAGCACAAGGATGAAACTCAATGAGATAAACAGTATAGCTTTTTGTTTTTCTTACTTCTTGAATGAAATGTACTTTTTACTGCCACCATAAGGATGTTGATGAAAAAATAGATAGGGAGAGGGGGAGAGGGGTAATAATCAGGGGGACAGCATTCTCATATCATGTCTGCAGTCTCTGACCACCTCCTGTATTATGTCTGCAGTCACTGACCATCTACTCTATTATGTCTGCAGTCTCTGACCTCCTCTTGTAATATATCTGCAGTCTCTGACCACCTCCTGTTTTATATCCGCAGTCTAGACCATCTCTTATATCATGTTTGCAGTCTCTGATCACCTCCTACGTTATGCATGCAGTCTCTGACCATCTCTTGTAATATGCATGCAGTCTCTGGCCATCTCCTGTATCATGTCTTCAGTCTCTGACCATCTTCGGTATCATGTCTTCAGTCTCTGACCATCTCCGGTATCATGTATCATGTCTGCAGTCTCTGACCAGCTCTCTCTATTTATGTCTGCAGTCTCTGACCATCCCCTCTATTATGTCTGCAGCCTTTGACCATCCCTCTATGATGTCTGCAGTCTCTGACCATGCCCCCTCGATTATGTCTGCAGCCTCTGACCATCTCTTGTAATATATCTGCAGTCTCTGACCATCCCCTCTATTATGTCTGCAGCCTTTGACCATCCCCTCTATGATGTCTGCAGTCTCTGACCATCCCCTCTATTATGTCTGCAGCGTCTGACCATCTCTTGTAATATATCTGCAGTCTCTGACCACCTCCCATATCATGTCTGTAGCCTCTGACTATCTCCTGTATCATGTCTGCAGTCTCTGACATTCCCCTCTATTATTTCTACAGCCTCTAACCATCTCTTGTAATATATCTGCAGTCTCTGACCACCTCCCGTATCATGTCTGCAGTCTCTGACCACCTCCTGTATCATGTCTGCAGTCTCTGACCACCTCCTGTATCATTTCTGCAGTCTCTGACCATCTCCTCTATTATCTCTGCAGTCTCTGACCATCTCTTGTAATATATCTGTAGTCTCTGACCACCTCCCGTATCATGTCTGCAGGCTCTGACCTTCCCCCTATTATGTCTACAGCCTCTGACCATCTCTTTGTAATATATCTGCACTCTCTGACCACCTCCTGTATCATGTCTGCAGTCTCTGACCATCTCCTCTATTATCTCTGAAGTCTCTGACCATCTCTTGTAATATATCTGTAGTCTCTGACCACCTCCCGTATCATGTCTGCAGTCTCTGACCACCTCCTGTATCATGTCTGCAGTCTCTGACCACCTCCTGTATCATGTCTGCAGTCTCTGACTACCTCCCGTATCATGTCTGCAGTCTCTGACCATCTCCTGTATCATGTTTGCAGTCCCTGACCATCTCCTCTATTATCTCTGCAGTCTCTAACCATCTCTTGTATCATGTCTGCAGTCTCTGACCACCTCCTGTATTATGTCTGCAGTCTCTAACCATCTCTTGTCTTATGTCTGCAGTCTCTAATAATCATCTCTTGTATCATGTCTATAATCTCTGACCATTTGTTGTAATATACAGTATCTGCATTCTCTGACAAATAATGGCAGCACACAAAAAAAAAGAGTTTTTAAGTATTTCATTTTTAAAAAAAAAACTGCTTATCAATTCTTGTTGGGAGGACATACCCCACCTATATAACTGCAAAGCATCATTTAGGTTGACAAATGCTTTAGGACTTCAGTTTCCCTTTTTAGCCATCTTCAGTAGAGCAATACAAGCTGACCCCTAGCTGACAGTCAATTCTCCTTTTCATTTGATTGCAGCAAATTCAGATCTGATGGGTTTATTATGGGTACAGCACACCATTGCTGCCTTATTAGATAAGTCCATACACTTCGTAAGTAATGAACTTCAGACAACATCCATTGTGCTTCCTTGGGTCATCTGACATATAAAAACAGTAGTTTTACGCAATCATTACTCCAAACAGGTGAAACACTAGTCACACAATTGCCCTGCTGGGCCATATATTCCCTCTTCCTGGCAATGAGGTGCCATTACAAAGTCTCCATCCCCTACACAATGTCAATCCAGACAATTGTCTCCTCATTTTAAAATGGAAAGTTATATTAAAGATATCGTATGATGTGCTATTACAATTTAGTGGATATTATAAGAGGGGGTTATTAATTGCAGGCTGTATTATTAATACATATATGGCATGTCTGCGGGGGAAAGGTACTGTCTGGCTGCCAGCTTTCCTGTTTCTATCCTGTGTCTGCTATTATTTATATTGGGCAACCAAACTCAATACACAAAGGAGGGCTACAATCCACTTGGAGAGGAAAACCACGTTTGTCACCAATTTAGGTACATGACTGCTAGGGTGGTCTGACTTTGGAACTCAACCAAAGGAGGGGATGATGGACAACATTATCAGTGAATTCAAATGTGGGATGGATATGGACTCTTGCTATAAAGGGTGGCTCTAGCTATTTCAGTTCAGTTAATCAATACTGGTGGAGAAGGATCTGGGAGTTCTGGTAGATCACAAGCTTAATAATGGCATGCAATGCCAAGCGGGGGGGTTCTAAAGCGAGCAAAATCCTCTCTTGTATTAAAAGGGGTATAGACTCCAGAGAGAGAGATATCATTTCCCCCGGTACAAATCATTAGTAAGACCTCATCTGGAATATGCAGTTCAGTTTTGGACACCAATTTACAAAAAGAACATTGGGGAACTGGAGAAAGTACAGAGAAGGGCAACCAAACTGATACGAGGCATGGAGGAGCTCAACTATGGGGAAAGATTAGAGGAACTGAATTTATTCTCTCTTGAGAAGAGGAGATTAAGGGGGGATATGATCACCATGTATAATACATAAGGGGGGATATGATCTCCATGTATAATACATAAGGGGGGATATGATCTCCATGTATAATACATAAGGGGGGATATGATCTCCATGTATAATACATAAGGGGGGGATATGATCTCCATGTATAATACATAAGGGGGGATATGATCTCCATGTATAATGCATAAGGGGGGGGGGATATGATCTCCATGTATAATACATAAGGGGGGATATGATCTCCATGTATAATACATAAGGGCGGGATATGATCTCCATGTATAATACATAAGGAGGGATATGATCACCATGTATAATACATAAGGGGGGATATGATCTCCATGTATAATACATAAGGGGGGATATGATCACCATGTATAATACATAAGGGGGGATATGATCTCCATGTATAATACATAAGGGGGGATATGATCTCCATATATAATACATAAGGGGGGATATGATATCCATGTATAATACATAAGGGGGATATGATCTCCATGTATAATACATAAGGAGGGATATGATCTCCATGTATAATACATAAGGGGGGATATGATCTCCATGTATAATACATAAGGAGGATATGATCTCCATGTATAATACACAAGGGGGATATGATCTCCATGTATAATACATAAGGGGGGATATGATCTCCATGTATAATACATAAGGGGGGATATGATCACCATGTATAATACATAAGGGGGGATATGATCTCCATGTATAATAAGGGGGGATATGATCTCCATGTATAATACATAAGGGGGGATATGATCTCCATGTATAATACATAAGGGGGATATGATCACCATGTATAATACATAAGGGGGATATGATCACCATGTATAATACATAAGGGGGGATATGATCACCATGTATAATACATAAGGGGGGATATGATCACCATGTATAATACATAAGGGGGGATATGATCTCCATGTATAATAAGGGGGGATATGATCTCCATGTATAATACATAAGGGGGGATATGATCTCCATGTATAATACATAAGGGGGATATGATCACCATGTATAATACATAAGGGGGATATGATCACCATGTATAATACATAAGGGGGATATGATCTCCATGTATAATACATAAGGGGGATATGATCACCATGTATAATACATAAGGGGGATATGATCACCATGTATAATACATAAGGGGGGATATGATCTCCATGTATAATACATAAGGGGGATATGATCTCCATGTATAATACATAAGGGGGATATGATCACCATGTATAATACATAAGGGGGGGATACAATCTCCATGTATAATACATAAGGGGGATATGATCACCATGTATAATACATAAGGGGGGGGATACGATCTCCATGTATAATACATAAGGGGGATATGATCACCATGTATAATACATAAGGGGGGATATGATCTCCATGTATAATACATAAGGGGGATATGATCTCCATGTATAATACATAAGGGGGGATATGATCTCCATGTATAATACATAAGGGGGGATATGATCTCCATGTATAATACATAAGGGGGGATATGATCTCCATGTATAAATACATCAGTGTTTCATATAGTGAACTCGGTGTAGAGTTATTCACCCTGAGGTCATCACAGAGGACAAGGGGACACGCTTTACGTCTGGAGGATAAGAAATGTAATCTCCAAACACGGAAAGGTTTCTTCACAGTAAGAGCTGTGAAAATGTGGAATAGACTCCCTCAAGAGTTGGTTTTGGCCAGCTCAGTGGATTGCTTCAAAAAAGTCCTGGATTCTTTCTTAGATACACAGAATATAACTGGATACTAACATTTATAGGTAAAGTTGATCCAGGGAATATCCGATTGCCTCTCGAGGGATCAGGAAGGAATTTTTTTCTGAGCAGGAGCAAATTGGATCATGCTTTGCTGGGTTTTTTTTTGCCTTCCTCTGGATCAACTGTGGGTATAGGATTATAACTTTTTTTTTTCTATGGTTGAACTGGATGGACGTTTGTCTTTTTTCAGCCAGACTAACTATGTAAATAGATTAATTGATCCAGGCAATTGCTGTGACTGCTGTTGATGAGCAGACGAAAAAATGTGTTACTTGCTATGGCAATCAATTCACAGCCAGCTCACTATTTTTTTTATTATTATTATTATTTTGGTTTCTTCTGACTAAAGAATTAAAATAATTTTAGTGCGTCAAAAGAGTGATGGAGTTGTGCCAAAGCATATGCAAATATCAACTATGGGATGGTGTATAGAGACCATTGCAGTCTACAGTGGTGCTGGAATTGCCAGTCAATCCTTCAGCATCTGAAAGTTCATTCTTGGTTAAAATGTGGTTATCATATCAAGTGGTTATATTCAGGTTTTTTTCTTAGAATAGATGCAGGTACTCCCCCCTTCTGAGTTACCCCTTGTCTATGCCCCCCCCCACACACACACACACACTCACCTCTGAGCACCATCCCTTGGTTCCACAACCTACTCACCTCCCAGTACCACCCCATGTAGACAATACGACAATACAAAGCCAAGTATCAATTTGTGGAGCCAAGTAATTTGTATGGAATTTATTAATGATAACAAGAAATGCAGTAACAGCAACAATAGACCCTTGCCAGCAACAATAGACCTCTCAGCAGCCAGCAGCAATAGAATCTCCAGCAACAGTAGACCCGTCCCTTAACCTAGATTCCTCCCAGCAGCAATTGATCCCCCCAGCAATAATATATCCCCACCAGCAACAATAGACCTACCTGCAACAACGGATGTCCTTCCAGTGACAATAGATCCCCCAGCAGCCGGTATTAATAGACCCTTCTGCTCACCCAAGCACCCCTTGGCATTACATATATCCAGTGCTGGAGGTGCAAGATCTGCATTCCCCTGGGTTCCCGCTGGAAAAAAGCCCTGGTTATAATAGTGTAGACTTACCTATCATGGATAGCTGCATGTGCTGTTTCTGACAGAGTAGAAATATAGGCCCATTGTAACCAACACTTCGCTTGGGATCTGTCAACTGACAAAGCCTTGTTTTTCATGTAATTCTAATAGCACCTTTGTTATACGACATTCTGCTACCTTTGTTAGATGACAGGCAGGAGATAAGGTGGACTTAAAGCCTGACAGAATATGAGTAAATATCCATCAAGTAAGACTCAGATTATTACAGATAGTCATTGATGTCTGGTGCGCGTGACAGCATTAGACCCAGCATTTCTCAACTTTTTCAGCACAGAGGAACCCTTGAAATAACTTTTCATTCTTAGGGAACCCCTGCTAAAAATTGCTGAATCTACAACTCATGATACATCAGTGCAAAGGTCAGTGGGAAAAATTTTCCTTACACTTGTGGTCATTGGGAAGAATTTCCCCCTTACACATAGCTAAAAAGATCAATGGTGTCAGTGGGAACTTATCTAAGAGGTAGAAATTGCTCATTCCTCAAGGAATCCCTAGCAACCTCTGGCCTAATCCTAGGGTACCATGGAACCCAGATGGAGAAACCCTGGCTGAACAAATAGAAGCGAGGCTTGATTTCGATATATACAGAATGGAGTTAAGCTGGACATTGACAGAACGATTTTCTTTCCTGTGACCACCGGTTTCAGGAAAGAAAATCTCTTGTTTCCTCATCAATACAATCAGTGTTCCCTCCCGTGGAGCCATTGTTTTCTCCCAGTGGTGGTGGGCCAGACAAGCAGTCCCTGCCTATAGAACACAGTGATTATTGCTAGCGGCTATAATAGCCACTAGCAATAATCACATGTTAAATCCGACAGGCTGGTTGTACCAAGTTGATCGATCAATCAACTTGGGTATATTCAGCCCGCCCATACATGGTTCTAATCTTGGCCAGTCCCTGCTGAGCCAGCCAAGATATGCACCATCTATGATCGGCTTTAGTCATCCTAATACACAACAGAGGTACAGTGTATATTTTCCGTTCCCAGGCTGCTACCTCTTTGATAGCAACAAAAAGATCACTCAGCAGATGACAAACTCTTGGATGGCTATTGAGGAGCGCTCAATTCAAACGTTCATACCACTCAGGGGGTCTTTTTTTAAATGCTTATTGGTTAAGAGCATCAAGTAAAACCAACTTGGTGCTGGAGCAGTAGCATACTGATGGGATGCAGTAGAAGACCTATATTAGGCTTCAGAAAGACTGTCAAATCTTAACTGAATTATTAACTGCCAGTGTGTTGTTAATTGATGACTAGTTCTCTTTAGCAATAAATTCCAAGATAAGTTTGGGGGGGTGGCCAGGATAGTTTTCAAAATGAGGGGCCCTTCCTGAAGAAAGAAGAGACATAGAAGATTTAAACATTTTTAATAGAGATGGAGATACCTCTCAACATTCTATGATACAGTTTTAGAAACTTAATATTTGTGGAAAATTATTTAGTAGTCCCAAAAAAGTTTGACATGAGATGGTTGGGAGATATATCAATATGTATATATATATATATATATATATATATATATATATATATATATATATATATATATTAAATCATATAGAGAACAGTCATTGCTTTGAAATATTTCATGTTTTTAGTTTATTTCTGTCCTCTTTTGTTATCTAAACCACTTGGACCTGCATTATAAAAAGGATAATTGCAGCGTGAGTCACAGATGAGTCAGCCCTGGTAGAACTACAATGTGACTATTCTTCCTCATCTATGGATTTCTTGGTCCATTAGCTCTTTATCCCATCAATGAAAAGAGTGGGTAATGTACAACCAGCTTCAGGGCTAAACATTTCAGCAGCTTCTGCTTTCTTAGGTGGACAGCGAGATGTTTATCCTCCTACAACGAAGGACTGCATGTGAGTTGCAAAAATAGTTGTATAGAAGTTTACAGGGTTGGTACTTCCATAGATTTAGGGGGTGGACTTTAATGGACTAAACCACCTTATAGCTTTCCATGTCCCTTGGGGTATCCCAACCACAAAACTCAGTCTTTTGGGGCTTGTAGAACCTCCTATGAGAAAGAGTCTACATCCTCGATCTGCAGCAGTTGTGGACTTTTAGTATATCTAAAGTCAAAACAGCCAGTGTTGCCATAGTCTACTAGTAGTTTAGTCTGCTAGTACTATGTGTAGACTTTGGGGATGTGTCATTGAGCTGAATGAACTGAACAGGTTTTATTATTTAAGTACTTAAAAATATATTACTGTGCCATTTGTGTTGGTTATGTTTCACATTGTTAACTTTTTCTGTTTCAGGTGTAACTTATTCTGACACCACCAGTCACACTGAAGCTTGCAAGCCATGTACTGAGTGCCATGGTAACAAACGCATGATTGCCCCCTGCGTGGAAACAGACGATGCCATCTGCGCTTGTGCCTATGGTTTCTTCAGGGATGAACATACTGGAGAATGCAATCCATGCAGGACATGTCCTGTTGGATATGGCATGATCCTGTCCTGTTCCATGAACCAGAATACGGTGTGTGAAAAATGCCCAGAATGGACATTCTCAACTGTGGACAACAACATGGACCCCTGCCTGCCATGCACTATATGCGAGGATAATGAGATAACATTAAAAGAGTGCACACTGACGTCAGACACAGAATGTTTCGGTAAGTACAAGCAGATAGTGGAGATGTATATTTTCACATAGCCCATTTATTGGTCAGTAGAGGAACTAGAGCCAGTGGTGCCCAACTAAAGGTCCTCTTGTTCTCTCTTTATGGTACTCCTGACCATGAGTTCTGTATTTTTGGTGGGGGTTAAGACAGAACAGCAAATGGGGAGAAAATCTCCTCCTTGGGGATACAGGGAGAAATTAAAAATTCATTGTCTAATAGATTGAGGAAAGTGTAGAACATTTGTAAAGATTTAACTGGCCAGTGAGTTGGCCCATCATAGTGAAGGAACATGTGGGAGCAAGACTTACTGGCAAGCTTTGACACTACATAGAAGTGGCAAAACATTCCCTGGGACCCTTCCCTAGGAAGGTTTGGGAAGGCGCAAGCACCTCTAGGTCTCTCCAATTCATGCTTGAAGTTTGCCCCTCTCCCCCCAGTGGCAATGGTCTTCTTAGGAAATATTGCATATGCACAGTTGTAAGTTCCTCAGTAGCCTCTCAGCACATTTAGCTGTTAAGTTGTGGAAAACACATTAATCCCAATAAAATCTTGGCCTAGTGTTTAGACATCTTGGTCCAGTTCCTTCCATAATATGCCAGAAATTTTTTGGGATGCTATATATTTAATACAAACACTGCTTCCCAGAAATCACGAGACAGGTTATTTGCAATACAGACCAAAAGCTTAGTATGATATAATGAGGTGGAGATGCCAGGAATGAAAGAATCCAATAGCAGTAATGATACGGGAATTTTTGTGGGCAATCTAATGCTCGTATTTTATTGACTTAAAGGTGTCTTGGTTTTGGGTGACTGCCAAGGGATTTAAGGGTTAAATTTACTTTTAAAACAGATTGATTCTTTTAATTTATGTTGAGAAACAAAAAAAAATATATATATAAATATTACAGTGTTAAGGTTAAAAAGAGACTTGCGGCAATCATGTTTATCTTCTTATAGCTATATTAGTCCAGAGGAGGAAAAAAAAACCCTTGTGATTTGTTCTTGATTCTGCCACACAATACAATAAAAAATACGGATCATTTCCCTGTAGGATCAATTGCCTGGATCATAATATTTCCCTATTAACCTTTAGGCTCTGTCACTTTTTCAAGCATTTTTGAGTGTTTTTTGGAGCAGAATTGCATGTTTTTGCAGCTTTTGTCAAGCGGTTTTCATCTAAAAGTTGTGGATTGCTGCTTAAAAAAGGCAGAGAGCTGCTGTTTGAGAAGAAAACGTGTGACAAAAAACTTGAAAAAATGCTTAAATAAAGCTCATGTTGCGCTTATCAGGCATTTCCATTGACGTGTATGGGGACAAAAATACTCAATTCTGCCTGAAAAGTAACTCATGTACTTTTGTGAGCAATAGGCGTTTTGCTACAAGCGACAGGATGCTCAGATGTGAACAGGGGCTACTGAAAACAAAAGATTTTTGCGTGTTGGGCATTTTTAAGTTTCAAGCTACAAAATGCTCAAGTGTGAACGGGGGCTAAGAAATAGAAACATTGCATATTGTCAGTTGTAAGAAGAGCTCTCAAAGCCCTAGTTCGCGTGAGATATACAAAGCTGGTGGGAGACTACTACAAAATTAGGAGTCTCTTACTATCCACACTCTTGACTCTCTTTTTTTTACATTTGATGTGCTCCTCTACTGCTTTGTCTTAGCCATCCAAAATAGCCAACATTTTCCATTATCAGGGAACATGTGACCTCCTCCCAGGATGCAGTGCTTGGACTTGGGTAGCCAATCTCCAGGCCATAAAATTGGGATTTGAGTTAGAGTACAACCTTGGTAGATCACAAGATTTGTCTCCCAAGCAGAATGGAGTAGTAGAGGAGCAGGAGAAACATGGGTATAAATGGGTCAGGGGTGGGCTGGTATAAGACTTTAGTCACTTTGGTCAGGTCACTTTGCCCTGAATCCAGGCCCCATGTTTAAAAACTTTTTTTAAAGCATTACTCCAGTTCTTTATGCTGCAGGACTGCCCTCCATGCCCTCATCTATCGCTACTACTTCCAGTTTGAATGGCATCTGGTGTCATTCAACCCAGTCATGTAAGTCCACACCCAGTGGGGTGGTGTCATCACACAACCTGGGCACACAAGAGAATGCTGCTTAGAATGGCACTCACATAGAATAGAATTTGAAAATTTTTAAAACCCTTATCATTTTTTTTTTAATTGCTGCCTGTGCCCTATTTTGGAAGTTTTTTGTTATTTCCTGCTTGGACAGGCAACAGAAAGTATTATTATTATTATACAGTATTTATAAAGCGCCAATAGTTCGCTCAGCGCTGTACATTACAAAGGGAGACAGAACATGTGACAGAACAATACCAATACAATGCGATACATGAGGGGATCGAGGGCCCTGCTCTTTTGAGCTTACAATCTAGGAGGGAGGGGATGGTGGCACAGGAGGAGATAGCTGTGGGGGATGGAGTGGTAGGAAGAGTGGAAGAGGTCGGCAAGTTAGCAGGGGGTGGGGTAGGCTTCCCTGAAGAGATGGGTTTTCAGGGTGCGCCTAAAGGAGCGGAGAGTAGGTGATAATCTGATGGGTTGGGGCAGGGAGTTCCAGAGGATGGGTGACACCCTGGAGAAGTCCTGGAGGTGGGCATGGGAGGAGGAGACCAGGGAACTAGAGAGAAGGAGGTCTTGTGAGGAGCGGAGTGTGCGTGCTGGGCGGTACTTGGGTATTAGGTCAGAGATGTAGTACGGGGCAGTATGGTGGACAGCTTTGTACGTCAGCGTTAGGATTTTGAATTTGATCCGTTGCGCAATCGGAAGCCAGTGGAGGGATTGGCAGAGGGGGGTGGCGGAGACAGAGCGGTTGGAAAGGTGAATGAGTCTGGCAGCCGTATTCAGGATCGACTGAAGCGGGGATAGCCAGCGGCGAGGCAGGCCAGTGAGGAGGGAGTTGCAGTAGTCGAGTCGTGATATGATGAGGGAGTGGATGAGCTGTTTAGTGGTTTCTGGGGTTAGGAATGTGCGGATTTTGGCGATGTTGCGGAGGTGCAGTCTGCACGAGTTTGTTAAAGATTTGACTTGGGGCTGGAAGGATAGGTTGGAGTCCAGAATGACACCCAGTACTCTGGCCTGCAGGGCGGGTTTGATGGTAGCGTTGTTGGATGTGACGGAGAAATCAATGGGGGGTGGTGTCTGGGCTGGGGGGAAGACAAGAAACTCGGTTTTGGAGAGGTTCAATTTAAGGAAGTGGAGCAACATCCAGTCTGATATGTCGCTCAGTAGGTGTGTGATTCGGGCTGAGACCAAGGGGGTGAGGTGGGGGGTTGAGAGATAGATTTTGTGTGTCGTCGGCATAGAGGTGGTAGTTGAAGCCGTGAGAGTGTATGAGTTGGCCAAGGGAGGAGGTATAGATGGAGAAGAGAAGGGGTCCGAGGACAGAGCCTTGAGGGACCCCAACAGAGAGGGGGAGTGAGGGGGAGGTGGTAGCACACAAATCTCCCCAAAGAAAGGAAAATTCCCATTTTAGAGAGAGTTGTCTCCAGAAGATTTGTCACTGTAATGGAACCAACCCCAAACTGCACTTGGGTACTTCCGTTAGAATACTGCTTGCCCGTCCGAACACCGACCACAGACACCACATCCGACCAAACAAGAGTAGACAACACCAATCTTGAAGTAATCCAGAAAGTAGACTAGTTTATTTGAACACAGATACAAGATATAGACACTCAAGGGGCAAATACCCCCTCCCTGCGGGGCAATCTACATTTAGCAACAAGAGACACACAGGTATTCAAACTTTACTCCAGCAGACAGTCCCATCAAGAGGGAGGGCTGCTGGAGACAACCCCCCACTAAGCTAATACACATAAACACATACATCCCATAATAGTTTGCTCCCAAGCAAGACAAACAATAGAACAATGGGATGCAACCACATAACATTAAACAATCAACAACCCTCACCCCACCTATCTCCTAGACATGTCTTACAAAATATTAGGACAGATCACCCTGTACCCCTAACAGGCACAGGGTGACTTACACATAAGAGAGATATGGGGAGCTGGGACAGGGGTCTCCCCAGCTTAACAAAGTGAGCTGGGTTCCATGGGCCCCCCACCCAAAGTGACTCCCGTCACGGTCGCCATTGGAAGATTTTGCTTCGCCTCTTGCTTTCATGAAATCTCGAAAATGTTAGTTTTCCTCTTTTTGTCTCAGTGACAGTTGTCACCAGAACAAATAGATGGATTGATGGATCCAAAAGAGTATGCCAAACCAAAGCTCTTAGATTTCAAAGTGGTATTTGATTCCATAAATTGACAAAAGAAAAAAAACAGGTATCCAGCATCCAACGTCTTTCGGGTGCTTGTACTCCCCTTTATCAGGGCTCCAAAATAAACTAGGTGTCAGGTGGACCCAGAGCAAAGCTCCTGGAGAAATGTGATTCAAACCAGGAGGATAATCTTTAAGAAGGCCCCCGTCTCAGTAGCAGAGCAGCATGCTCATGGCTGTGTACGTTAGATATTATTACTGAGACAGGTTCCTTCTTAAATGTTACCCACCTGATTTGGATCAAATTTTTCCAAAAGCTTTGTTCTAGGTCCAACTGACACCTAGTTCATTTTAGAACCCTAATGAAGGTGGAGTGCCGAGTCCCCGAAATACATTGGATGCCAGTTTTTTCCTAATATTTTCAGAATCAACAAAGTACCACTTTTAAAGCTATGGACTTTTGTTTGATGCCCTCTTTTGCTTGAAATGCATATGGACTTCTCAATTCAGGTGACCTTTGCCTTTTGAATAGAGTTGCCAAACACAAGGCATCCGGCTTTATAAGGCCATTATATATCAAAGATCCAGATTCAGTGCCTCAACTTCATAAAAACTTGAAAGAGTTCCCGCTTTGTCTAAAACAAAGTTTTGCCTTTATATACACTTTAAAGCAGAACAAAACACACTTCAACATATTTTTTTTTATTTCATCCCTCCACCTCCATCTTACACAAAAGCAAAAAAAAAAAAAAAAGTATTACATTTTTTTTTACCTTTTTATGTTTTTGTGCTGCAAACCAGAACTTCTAGGTTCCCATTCTAGGCCGGGCCCTGCCGTTTCCTGGAAAAGCTACATCACAGGGGCGGACTGACAACTCATGGGGCCCCCGGGCAATAGGGGATCATGGGGCCCCTGTGTCCTTGCCCAAACTCAAATGCCTATGAAAAAGGTACCAGGGGCATCTCATGGGGCCCCCTACTGACCCCGGGTCGTCGGGCAGTGCCCGAGTTTCCAAATGGTCAGTCCGCCCTGATCACAGCTATCCCAGACGGCAGTGTGTTAATAAGCTGCAACTGTGCAGTGTATGTGCCAACGTGTGATGGGTTTGTTCTCGCTTGCCCAAACGCCAACAGAAGTTTGGCGGCAATCAGGCAAAAGCTGGCATTAATCACAGCACCAGTGGTGTATTTAGGTTTTGTGCTGCCCTGGGCAACACAAAAAATCGTCTGCCCCCACAGACACCGACCAACACCCCCCCCCCCCTTCCTCCTCCTCCCGTGGAGAGAGCATGACATTGACCAACAACACCCCTGCCCCCCACCTGGGAGAGCCTTTCACTACCCCCCCCCCCCCCCCAGCAATAAAGAGTAAGACACTCATCTTCACAGCTCTGGAAATCCCCGGGAACGAGAGTTAGGCTCTACATACAGCATCAAGCAGCCCGCAGCCTCTCTCGGATCCCACTTGGTTCCTATGGCATGCATGTCCCTTCTTTCATCCCTTTTTCTAGGGGGGAGGTGCTGCCCCCCCTGAAAAATGCCACCCTAGGCAAGTGCCTTGTTTGCCATGGGGTAAATACACCCCTGCACAGCACATGTACTTATGCACCACCAGATGTTACCAGATACCTGGAAGACACAGGTGGGGAAGATGTGCATACACAGGTGTTCCCGAGTGTAGCTCGGGGTAAAATTTCTATACCAAAAGCGGTAACCCCAAGCTACACTCGGGCTTACCATGCGGCGCTGCTCTGGGGGTCCCTGCAGCACTTACCTTGTCCTTCGCTCCCGCGATGTGTCCCCTGCAGCGTCCCCAGCCATCTCCTCCGGCTGATGCCAGCATCCGGCTTCTGTGTTCCGGTCCCTGTGACGTCGGGACGGACGGCGGGAAATTTGAAATTTTTAAAAAATGTCATTTTTGCTGTCATTGCTGTTTCAATGCATTTCACATACATTTTGTCCCTACTGCTTTGTCCTGCGCCCTGCCTGCATTTTGACTGTTCTTTCTGCCTGGAAACTGAGAAAAGTCCATGGCATCCAAAAAGCGTCCCTTTACGCCAAAAGTGGTTTTAGAGCAGCGATAGTAAATCAGAACCACTTGCAGAAGAATTGAGTGATAATGATCGTGGGGGAAATTCGTCATCAGACACTGAAAACGATTTTGCGACTTTGCTCAGCGATGTGCGAATTTGCCATCTGTATTTCAAATTTCAGTGTTTTTGGTTTGATTATATTATTGAATTAAATGTATTATTATTATATTATTATTTTTTATGATTATTTATTCAATTATAATTTATGATTTTGTGTTTCAAATTTTATCATATCCGGAATGTTTACTAGACTCTTGTTCGTACAGATTTCAGTGAGTTATCCTAAAAATTACAGCCTACAATAAAAAACTACATATTTCCATGCAAAAAAATGGTACCGCTTTCAGCACAAAAAATCGGAAAGAATCATACCGCCGAGGAGGTTAAAGATGGCGGCATAGATGAGCGGCAAGGGGAGCTGTTTATTCAACAGTTTTGTCCCTCGTTAACTATTGTAGAAAACACGCAATTTAATAGGACAGGAATAATCTTTCACTGATCTGATTTCAGAAATATGAAATGTGATTGCTTACTACATTGTGCACGTCGTCCTCATTCATCGCACTACTTTACTGATTAAGCCGGATCATGTTTGTGTAGAATATTTCCCCCATAAAATGCTCACTTACTTGTACAAATCCAAAGCTATTTATACATACAGAATTAATGGAAAGCATGCTGGTAGATCAGACACGCACAGGCTGCAATTATCCACGCTTGTATGCCTGCCTGTGCTCTAAGCCTTCCCTCTGACATACACTTGTAATGACATAATATCTACACCAACCGTCACACTAATAGATCAATGTAATTCTCCGGTCCATCAGTCTGTCTGTGACTCATTGTTCTAATTGCTGACAGTGACCCTATTGTGTGACATAGTGAAGACAGGAAACTGCCCGTGGGCAGCCTACACCATAACAGTGCCATCTCTGTCCTACTCATCGCTGCGTGGAGCGCAATGCTCTGCAGGGTACTTTTTCAGTTGAAAGAGTCTGCAGGAGTCTGGAAAATGTTTGTAGGTTTACTGTACAAGGCGGGCACAAGAATAAACAGAACAACTGTAGATTCAGATGGCTTTTTCCTGGTCATTTTTGTATTAACTCTATTTACATACCCATACCGAAACCCTAAAACGATATCTAATTATTAAAACAAATAATCACCCCTGAACCTTCACCCTTATACTGTAAGCAGAACTCTGATCAAAAGTAACAAGAAAAAAAATGAATAGCCCATTAACCCCTCGCCTACAGGGCACTACTACCCCCTTCCTGCCTACAGGGCACTTATACCCCCTTCCTCCTCAGGCCAATTTCCAGCTTTCAGCGCTGTTGCACTTTGAATGACAATTGCGCGGTCATGCAACACTGTACCGATATGAATTTTTTATCATTTTTTTGTGACAGATAGAGCTTTATTTTTGGTGGTATTTAATCAACTCTGGGTTTTTTATTTTTTCTTAAACAAACCAAAAACCACAGAAAAGTTTGAAAAAAAAAATGTTTTTTCTTAGTTTTTATAAAAAAAATTTGTAAATAAGTGATTTTTCTCCTTCACTGATGTGCGCTAATGAGGCTGCAGTGATGGGCACTGATAGGCTGCACTGATGGACACTGATAGGTGGCACTGATGGGCACTGATGAGAAGGCACTGATAGGTGGCACTGATGGGCATTGACAGGCATCACTGATGGGCACTGAAAGGCAGCACTGATATATGGCACTGATAGGTGACACTGATAGACGGTCCTGACTGGCACTGATAGGCGGCACTGACTGGCACTGTTAGATGGCACTGACTGGCACTGTTAGGCGGCACTAATTGGCACTGATAGGCTGCACTGACGGGCACTGATAGGCGGCACTGGCGGGCACAGATAGGTGGCACTGATGCGCACTGATAGGCGGCACTGACTGGCACTGATAGACGGCACTGACTGGCACTGATAGGTGGCACTGATTGGCAGCACTGATAGGTGGCACTGATTGGTATTGATAGGTGGCACTGACTGGCACTGATGGGTGACACTGAAAGGCAGCTCAGATGGGCACTGATATGTGGCATTGATGTGCACTGGTAGGCATTGCTATGTGGCGTTGATGTGGCACTGATGGGCACTGGCACGTGGCACTGATGAGCACTGACAGCTGGCACTGCTGGGGCCACACTGATCATCAGGGCACACTGACCATCAGTGCTCTGATGATCAGTGTACATGTCCCCTTAACGGAATGCCGATTACCGGCTCTCCTCTGTCAGTGTGACAGCTTAAGAGGAGAGAAATGCCGATAACCGGCATTTCCCTGTTTACATGTGATCAGCTGTGATTGGACACCGCTGATCACATGACCGAGCTGACATCTTCGGCTCTTTCCATGATCGGTGATCCACTGTGTCCGAGGGATACAGCGCACCGCCAATCGCCACGCTGTGCGCTCCAGGAGCCGCGCATGCGCGGTTAGAATGGGAGGACGTCATATGATGTCCTCCCAGAACGAGAGAACCACCTTGCGTCGGTCATATTACTATATGGCGGGCGGGAGGTGGTTAAACGATGAAATAACAAATCTAGCTTTAGCTGTTCTCTTTAATCCAGAGGTTTCCCCCGCAGTACTTATTTTCTGCCACTAGGTGTCTTCAGTCTGATGGTCAGTCCGGACCTTCTTCAGCCTTGGAAAGGACAGTGAAAAGAGAAGCAGCACAGTGATGAGATCATCTCTCTGTCACTCTGCTTTCTCCTCCTATCTACATGCTTCCTGTCACTCCAGCCCTGTAAGAATGCAAGAGACTGATACAAGGTCAAATTCAGATGCTTACACTGCTGTAGATTAATACATCTAACAGTGTAATAATGATTACAGAACTGTACTGATTTGTGTCTTTTTCAGCTTTACAGTGTATATGAATGTAAATGGTACACAAGCCATATAGTGACACTAGGCACTGACAACAACAACTAGCCCATGTTCAGAGGGCTAGGGGAATGAGCCTGCAGAAAATGGTTAGCGGTTTCCACAGCATAAAGGGCTGGGGGAATGAGCCTGTGGAAGATGGTTGGGGGTTTCCAGAGCTTTTAGGACTGGGGGGAATGAGCCTGAGGAAGATACCTGGAGGTTTCCACAGCTCAGAGGGCTGAGGGATTGAACCTGCAGTAGATGGTTGGTGGTTTCCACAGCTTGGAGAGCTGGGGGAATGCTCCTGTAGAAGATGGTTGGTGGTTTCCACAGCTTGGAGGGCTAGGGGAATGAGCCTGAAGGAGATGCCTGGAGGTTTCCACAGCTCAGAGGGCTGGGGGAATGAGCCTGAAGAAGATGCTTGGAGGCTTCCACAGCTTAGAGGGCTGGGGGATTGAACCTGCAGAAGATGGTTGGTGGTTTCCACAGCTTGGAGAGCTGGGGGAATGATCCTGTAGAAGATGGTTGGTGGTTCCCACAGCTCAGAGGGCTGGGGTAAAGAGCCTCTAAAACTTGGTTGTCAGTTTACACAGCTTGGAGGGCTGGGGGAATGAGCCTGCAAAATACGTGTGGGGTTTCCACAGCTCAGGGGGCTATGGGAATGAGGCTGCAGAAGACGGTTGGCGGTTTCCACAGCTCAGAGGACTGGGGAAATGAGCCTTCAGAAGATGGTTAGCAGTTTCCACAGCTCAGAGGGCCAAGGGAATGAGCCTGCAGAAGACGGTTGGTGGTTTCCACAGCTTGGAGGGCTGGGGCAATGAGGCTGCAGAAGATAGTTGGCAGTTCCCAATGACAGTATAGGAGGAGCTAAGCTGCTATCATGCTGTCTATGAAACTATGGAGGCTGGGCAGGGGCATGGCCACTGAATCCATCTATGGGACTACAGGCACGTCTTGCATGGGCATGGTAAGCTATAGCATCCAAGTCAGGAGAAGGGATGCAAACTGACCACACTAGGATGGAACTACTTCCATACATATTTTTCTGTTTGTACGTCACTAAACGGAGAATACATTTTTGTTTGTAGAAGCAAATATGTGTCTAACCCTTTCGATTCCCATAATGCTGCGTTTAGATGCCTACAAAACTATGCAATATACTTGTTTTAGACACCTGAATAAATGAGCCCTAAATAAGCCTAGTACTAGCCCAAACTGCATGTGGCAGAATAAAAACGATACAGTATATGAATCCTATATATATATACTTTTGGCTAGTTAAAAAGATTTGCATTTGGGTCACCAAACCATACAGGCCCAGAAGCAGATGCCCTCAGCATCCCCTGTAACATATCACTGACTCGTTAGTAATAAACATAATATGCACTAACAACTATAATGAAAGCATAAACAGCTCAATTACAACTCGTAAGCATTCTCCAAAAGCCCATCACTATGTTAATTAAAGGCAAGCATCATATTTTTGGAGAAAAATGAAAGGTTGAATAAAACTCAGCAAGCATTAGGAACATGTTTAGACACAGGGGGTTGGAAGTGACAGTTTGAAGGATATTGCTGTGTAGAGTTGTATGCACAGTTGCCATCATTGGCATGTCTCCCGGTTGCTGGAAAGCCTTTGCAGACTAGGAAGTTAAAGTCTGTTTTGAATTATTGGAATTGGACGGCCATAGACTCACACATGTGTTCTTCCTCATATTCCTGTTTGTTGGCCTGTACCAATCCAAAAAAAGCTTTCAGGTCAATTGACAAGAGTATAAAAACTTTCCAAGAGTATGACCAACTCCAAGGTTATACATACTCCTAAAGTAGATTTAAGCCCTAAATGTCTGACATTAAGTTTTCTAAAGCCCCGTATATTATTAGCAACTGCCATTTTTTAAAGTAATTTTCACTTTTTTATCTTCTTTTTTGCATCGCAGTACTGCTGCTCTCCAGTACTTTAGCAGCCACTACCTGTCTACATGCACTCACTCCAATGGTATGCCATTAGTCAAGGCGAGCTTCTTGATGTTTGCGAAAGCAAATACAGTGTATTATACACAACTGTCATTTTTTAGGTACTTTTCATTTTTTTCATCTTTTTTTTTGCATCTCAGTACTACAGCTCTTCTCCAGTACTTTAGCAGCCACTTCCTATCTACATGCACTTATAATTTGTCAGGGCGGGTTTCCTGATGGTGGAACATACCTTCACAAAGTGCATCTGCACAAACAGGGATTGATTTTTGAAGGCAAAAAGAACTGCTCACTTAGTAAGGGAATTTCTTTTAAACTTAGTGAATGCGGTGGAAATTTACAAAGAATACCCAATCATGTGCATGAAAATTTTTTCTTTAAATGCGTATGATTGGTTAATGGAAGTCAGCAGATTTTCCCCTCATTCACTCAGCAAAGTGAAAACTCCTTTGCAAAGTTAACAGTTTATTTCTCTTTAGTAAATCAACCCCTCTGTCTCCATTTGACACACATTTGACCGGTGACAACACTTAAGAGGAATTAGGAGACAGATAGAGTGTTGTCACCCTCTTACAGGATCTACTGCCCAGCAGGTTACGGGAGACTGATATCAAGCCTTATGCATATATTTAAGTTAGTTGCATTTAAACAATTATATATATATAAATGTATTTATTTATTGCATTAATCAGTATTTTGCAATATATGCCTGCAGTTCACATTTAACAGGACAAGTTAAAATGAAGAGTCAGGAATTGTTACATTCCCCATTTAATGGAACAAAAAGTTACACATTTTGCTGAAAGTTGATATTTTCATATCTTGGCAACCATCCCCTTGTTTTGCTTAGGGCATATAGCATACAGATAAGGGAAGACACAGTTTTCCTCAGTAAAATATTCTCAAATGTTTGCAGTGAGCCATTGTCATTGCCAAAGGCAAATGTAAGAAAAAAATGTACATAAAAAAAATATAAAAATCATGGGAAAGCAAAGTAACAGGAGAATACATAGCATTCCTAGAAAGCCATTTTTAGCCACTTAAGGAGGAGAATGTAGTAGTAGTTATAAGATATAATGTATTTTATATTCGTTATTTTTGTATCTATTTTATTTATTAGATTTAGAACTTTTAAAATTTTTTAACTCTTTCGGCAGATACATATTAAATATTAAATATAATTATTTTACACTTGTCACCACGACCAGTAAATATATTACCTGTAGTCATAAAAAAGAGTACATTTTTATATTTTGTAGTGTATTCAGAACTAAATATTTTAACATTTTTTTACAAATTTTTTTGGCAAATAAATATGAAATATAAATATTTTTTATATTTGCCACCTATAACCAGTAAATTAATTACCTGTAATTCTAAAAAAAGGAATACATGATCATTTTTATATAATGTATTTATTATATTTACATGAATTTTAAACATTTTTTAGCTTTTTTTTAAGCAAGTAAATATGAAATATTTATAAGAGAATATTTTAAATTTGCCACCTATAACCAGCAATTTTATTACCTAGTGGTCTGATTTCTTATGGTCTGATTTCTTATTTTCCCCTGTTTAGGTCTAGCACACACACACTTTTCCCTGTCTGTTAGGTTGTATGGCCTTCTATAGAATTTCATTTAGATGGCATGCAGTCAATAGTGAGCAGCTAATGCTGACCTTCCTTGTTGTAAAGCCCAGCATGCTTTGCAGACAAAGGGTCATGAATGCACCCCTTATATATATAAATAACATTATAATCATTATATATATTATAGATTTTATACATAACAATACTTTTTTAAAAAAGTAAAAAAAAAAATTAAATAGTTTAAAAATATATAAATTAATATTTAGAGTTTCCTATTAACTTACAGATTTTGCTTTTTTTCCTCCATAGATCAGGTTGAATTTGTTTAAAAAAAAAAAAAAAAAAAAAGAGACTTTTAGTTTATTTACAGCCAAAATGTTTTTTTTTCTTTGCTTGACTCTTTAGATCCAAGCCCACGTTTGGCATCAGTGATTCCATTCTTGGACACTACCCCCCAGGACACCACTGTGACTGATCCGGAGTTAATGGGCACAACACCAGGGAGCTCGCAGCCCATTCCTCCGAGTGGGGCCGCTGAGAACCTCATTCCCGTCTATTGTTCCATTTTGGCTGCTGTTATTATTGGGCTGGTGGCATTCATCGTTTTTAAACGGTAGGTGCGTGGTAACAAGGTCACTTGCCAATAGCTCTGACAGAAACATACGGAGAGAATATCCCTCATCCATTAAAATTTATATATATACAGTATATATATATATATATATCAAACTGACCCAGATCGGAATATGTCATGCAGTTTCAAGAACTATGTTCTTTACATCAGTAGTAATTTGAAATGTTAAAAATGGGCACTTGGACACGTTGGTGTCTTGAAAAATATCCATAATGTAGAAAGGAAATTAAAAAAAGTCAAGCTAAGTGAATCTAAACTAGGGGTACATAGAGGAAAGTCTTCTGGTTAATAAAGATGATCAAGGACAACCTGTGGTGTGGACAGGACTTTAAATGGTTGACAGGTTGACTTTAAAGGGATCCTGTCATGACAAAGTTGAGGCCCCAACCATATGAAAATGCTAGTTCTCATTTTGTTGAGGGACCAACTAAAAAGTGCAGTCAAAAGATTCTGGAAATCGAAAGAAAATTGCAGTAGGGGTATGATGGTGTCGCCTTGAGACCTTGCCCACTCAGGGCCGAATATTAGGTTCTCTGTAAAGCCCAGCCCCCTACCACCTATTCTCACCTCCCAAGCACTACCCAGCAGCAATCTTTCCGGCTTGGCTGCTGCTACAAAATACCCGGGGTTTATGGGTATAGGAGAGCATGTCACCTTCCCACATAATGCAGTGCTTGGGCCAGTCGTTGGGCTCAAGCACTGTCACGTGGCAAAATTGAGGCATCATTGCTCCCTCTGACCCAGATCGGGATATGTCAAGCAGTTTCAAGAACTATGTTCTTTACAACAGTAGTAATTTGAAATGTAAAAAATTGGCACTTGGACACGTTGGTGTCTTGAAAAATATCCATAATGTAGACAGGAAATTAAAAAAAGTCAAGCTAAGTGAATCTAAACTAGGGGTACATAGAGAAAAGCCTTCTGGTTAAAAAAGATGATCAAGGACAACCTGTGGTGTGGACAGGACTTTAAATGGTTGACAGATTGACTTTAAATGGTTGACAGGTTGACTTTAATAGGATCCTGTCATGACAAAGTTGAGGCCCCAACCATATTAAAATGCTAGTTCTCATTTTGTTGAGGGGCCAACTAAGAAGTGCAGTCAAAAGATTCTGGAAATCCAAAGAAAATTGTAGTAGGGGTATGATGGTGTCACCTTGAGACCTTGCCCACTTTAAATGGTTGACAGGTTGACTTTAATAGGATCCTGTCATGACCAAGTTGAGGCCCCAACCATATGAAAATGCTAGTTCTCATTTTGTTGAGGGGCCAACTAAGAAGTGGAGTCAAAAGATTCTGGAAATCCAAAGAAAATTGTAGTAGGGGTATGATGGTGTCGCCTTGAGACCTTGCCCACTCAGGGCCGAATATTAGGTTTTTTGTAAAGCCCAGCCCCCTACCACTTATTCTCACCTCCCAAGCACTACCCCAGCAATCTTTCCAGCATGGCTGCTGCTGCACAAAATATCCAGTGTTTATGGGTATAGAAGAGCATGTCACCTTCCCACATAATGCAGTGCTTGGGCCAGTCATTAGGCCCAAGCACTGTCACATGGCAAAATTGAGGCATCGTTGCTCCTCTTGGATCCAACACCTGGTATTTTGCTGGTGGCCGCAACGAAGAAATGACCAGGGAAGGAGCAATGGAGAGGTAAGCATAAGTTGCTCAGGGGCTGGGTTTAACCCAGACCTCTTAATTCATCCTTGAATGAGCAAGGTACTTAAGAAAGTGGACAGATATCTGTGGACCCAAGAGGTTATCCCATTGGCATTGCTATCCAGAAGTATTGTAATGATGTTGGTGGATTTGATCTGGCTACTGTGCAGGCACACACCCCAGAGCATCTCCACAGTTTCCCTTTTGTTTGTAACATATTACAACATAAATAAAAATTGAAGTGCCACAACTTTGCTTAGAAGTCTAGTAAAGGTCAGAAAAACAATCAAAAGGGTATCTGATGCATTTTGGAGGTCCAAAAATGCCCTCTTCATCTATGCTTGGAATAGAAGACAATATACAGGACTGATTATTACCAGAACGTGGGTGGTAGTTTTGAAAAGTCATGCAGATCCTCACACTTGTTAAAATATATCACCCAATTTCCAGTAAATATTCTGTCCAATACATTGTTTTCTATTCCAAGCCCTGATAGAGGGGGTGTTTTTGTACCCCAGAAATGTGTTGGATACCCTTTCATTGTTTGTGTGACTTGTTTTGGAAGAAATCTCAATCTGGACTATTGAGCAACAGTGTAGAACTTCAGGTGCTATCAAGGGTGGACTGACAACTCATGGAGCCCCCGGGCAATAGGGGACCATGGGGCCCCTGTGTCTTTGCCCAAACTCAAAAAAGCCTATGAAAAAGGTACCAGGGCCATCTCATGGGCCCCCTACTGACCTTGGGCCCTAGGGAGTGCCCGAGTTTCCAAATGGTCAGTCCGCCCCTGCACTAGGGTGAATTTAGACAGCAGCCAATTAACCTACCAGCATGTCTTTGGAGTGGGGGAGGAAACTGGGAGTACCAGGAGGAAACCCACACTCAAAGCACAACCAAAAAAGCCTATAAAAGGTACCAGGGGCATTTCATGGGGGCCCCCTACTGACCGCGGGCCCTCGGGCAGTGCCCAAGTGACTGAATAGTCAGTCCACCCCTGAGTGCTATATATAGTGTTAAAGCGAGCGAGGTGGTGGTGGTGGTGGTGGGGGGGGGGGGGGTCTGTTCAAGTCAGAAACTGCTTTGTTCACCAAGCTTCCTATGTTCAGAAAAAATTTAAAAAAAATGACCCCTTAAAGCAAACTTTCCCCACCCCCATGTTTTTTCCCACTAACCTGTAGTGCTGTAGAGCTCTTCAAAGCATATACTGACAGAAAGGCAGTTCCCATGACTTGGCCAATCCCCCCCCTTCCTCAGGACTGCCCATGGACACTCTGTGTGCTGATCCTGCAGCCTGATCCCACATGGAAGAAAATTATATTTGAAATATATTTTAAAAATATTCTTCCCAAATATATTGACATATATTTGAAATGCTACAATTTTTTCAACATATTCAATATATATTCAAAATATATATATATAATATAATATATATATATATATATATATATATATATATATATATATATATATACACTGTATGTTGAAATGCGTTTTTATTACTAAATATTTTAAAAAATACATTTCAAATATACTGTATGTCTTTTTAAATACAAATCCACATTTTTGGAGTGCATTTACAAATGTATGTAAACATATATGTTAAAATGACTTTTTTATATGTTAAAAAAAATCTGAGCAATATATTTAAAAAAATATATTTTTAAAAATATATGTTTTTTAAATATATTCTTAAGATTTTTTTTTTTAACATATAAAAAAGTAATTTAACATATATGTTTACATATATTTGTAAATGCATTCCAAAAAAAATGTATTTTTAAAGACATACAGTATATTTGAAATGTATTTTTAAAGACATACAGTATATTTGAAATGTATTTTTTAAAAATATTTTTCATATATTTTGTAATAAAAGCATTTCAACATAAATGTATTTTTAAAAATATTTTTCATTTATTTTGTAATAATAACGCATTTCAACATACAGTGTGTGTGTGTATATATATATATATATATATATATATATATATATATATATATATATATATATATATATTGAAATATATTGAATATGGCCAAAATTGCAGCATTTCAAATATATGTCAATATATTTGGGAAGAATATTTTTTAAATATATTTCAAATATATTTTTCTTCCATACAGGATGTGAGTATCCCAGGAGGCTCCAGGACCAAGTACATGTCTTTCTGGCCAAGTATATTTGAAATGTATTTTTCAAAATATTTTACATATATTTTATAATAAAAGCACATTTCAACATACAGTATATGTGTGTGTGTATATATATATATATATATATATATATATATATATAATGAACTATATTTTGAAATATATTGAATATGGCCAAAATTGTAGCATTTCAAATATATGTCAATATATTTGGGAAGAATATTTTTAAAATATATTTGAAATATATTTTTCTTCCATATAGGATGTAAGTATCCCAGGAGGCTGCAGGACCAAATATATGTCTTTCTGGCCAAAGCCAGAATGGCAGTGGGGCAGGACTAAAATGTTTTTAAAAAATAAAAAACAAAAGAATTTCCCGCAATTCTGCTTGTGAAAGGGAGGGAGTGTTGAAGCTAAACTAACTCTCTTTTTGGAGTTTAGTAACACTTTAATACCTGTGACCGTGACCATTTATTTCTGCATAAAGGCTATGTCAAAATAGGAATCCTATCTCAAGATTGCTTAAAAAAAATAGTGTCTCACTCACCTGGGAGAGAACATTGACAGAGTCACATCTTGCTGTTACGACTAGTGAGATATCGACACTGTAGTTCAGGGGCGGACTGACCATTTGGAAACTGGGGCACTGCTCGAGGGCCCAGGGTCAGTAGGGGGCCCCATGATATGCCCCTGGTACCTTTTTCATAAGCTTTTTTGAGTTTTGGCAAAGACACAGAGGCCCCATGATCCCCTATTGCCCGGGGGCCCCATGAGTTGTCAGTCCGCCCCTGCTGTAGGTGCTTGTAGATTGTCACCAATGGCAGGATTCTTAAGTGACATCCCCTCGAGCCTGTGGCCCAGGAGCCGGAATTCTTCAGATGATTGTTTGGTCAACTTGCGAAAGGCAGTTTCAATCGTTTTGATTCTTACGTAATTCCAGAAAATTGCGTGTGATAGTATGATGGAATTACATGAGAAGGTTCAGTGCGTAATAACATGGATTATATTTTTGTGTTTTCTTTTTTTTTTTTTTCTCCATCACTTTAAAACTCATTAGTAAATATGAGCGAGCTGTGTGACGTATAGGTAGAAAGTGTGTGATCATTCGCTATCTCATCTTCATGTAGGTGGAACAGCTGTAAGAAGAACAAGCAAGGAGGAAATAGCCACACAGTCAACCAAACTCCGTCCCCCGAGGGGGAGAAACTACACAGTGACAGTGGGATCTCTGTCAATAGCGACAGTACTGCTGAGCAACCCGCAGGACATATGCAAGGTATGGAAGGCAATGAACACTTGTACTAATGTCAATATTATATTTTCTACATTCCTACATTTTCTACATAAAGGACTCCTTTTTATGTTTAAAGGTGAATAATTGAAATAAAAAAAAAAATACAACTCTTTATGTGGGTGGGTTATGTTCTCTATATTTCTGTATATTTTTTTCTACAAAATTTCAATAAAAACATTGAAATATAAAGGTGAATAATTAATTAGAGCAGCGCTCCTCCTGAGAAAATTGAACAAGGACAATTTTATATATTTTTTATAGATGTGGGTGGGTTATGTTCTCTATATTTCTGTATATTGTTTCTACAAAATTTCAATAAAAATATTGAAATATAAAGATGAATAATTCATTAGAACAGCGCTACTCCTGAGAAAATTGAACAAGGACATTTTATATATTTTGTATACATGTGGGTGGGTTATGGTCTCTATATTTCTGTATATTGTTTCTATAAAATTTCAATAAAAATATTGAAATATAAAGGTGAATAATTCATTAGAACAGCGCTCCTCCTGAGAAAATTGAACAAGGACATTTTATATATTTTTTATAGATGTGGGTGGGTTATGTTCTCTATATTTCTGTATATTGTTTCTACAAAATTTCGATAAAAACATTGAAATATAAAGGTGAATAATTAATTAGAGCAGCGCTCCTCCTGAGAAAATTGAACAAGGAAATTTTATATATTTTGTATAGATGTGGGTGGGTTATGTTCTCTATATTTCTGTATATGGTTTCTACAAAATTTCAATAAAAATATTGAAATATAAAGGTGAATAATTAATTAGAACAGCGCTCCTCCTGAGAAAATTGAACAAGGACATTTTATATATTTTGTATAGATGTGGGTGGGTTATGTTCTCTATATTTCTGTATATTGTTTCTACAAAATTTCAATAAAAATATTGAAATATAAAGGTGAATACTTACCGGTAATTAAAACAGCACTCCTCCTGAGAAAATTGAACAAGGACATTTTATATATTTTTTATAGATGTGGGTGGGTTATGTTCTCTACATTTCTGTATATCGTTTCTACAAAATTTCAATAAAAATATTGAAATATAAAGGTGTATAATTTAAACAGCGCTCCTCCTGAGAAAAATTGAACAAGGACGATTTGGGTTACTAAATATTTTTTCAAAATTTCAATAAAAATATTGAAATATAAAGGTGAATAATTAATTAGAACAGCGCTCCTCCTGAGAAAATTGAACAAGGACATTTTATATATTTTTTATAGATGTGGGTGGGTTATGTTCTCTATATTTCCGTATATTTTTTCTACAAAATTTCAATAAAAATATTGAAATATAAAGGTGAATAATTAATTAGAACAGCGCTCCTCCTGAGAAAATTGAACAAGGACATTTTATATATTTTTTATAGATGTGGGTGGGTTATGTTCTCTATATTTCTGTATATTTTTTTCTACAAAATTTCAATAAAATATTGAAATATAAAAGTGAATACTTACCGGTAATTAAAACAGCACTCCTCCTGAGAAAATTGAACAAGGACATTTTATATATTTTTTATAGATGTGGGTGGGTTATGTTCTCTACATTTCTGTATATTGTTTCTTCAAAATTTCAATAAAAATATTGAAATATAAAGGTGAATAATTATTTAGAACAGCGCTCCTCCTGAGAAAATTGAACAAGGACATTTTATATATTTTTTTATAGATGTGGGTGGGTTATGTTCTCTATATTTCCGTATATTTTTTCTACAAAATTTCAATAAAAATATTGAAATATAAATGTGAATAATTAATTAGAACAGCGCTCCTCCTGAGAAAATTGAACAAGGACATTTTATATATTTTTTATAGATGTGGGTGGGTTATGTTCTCTATATTTCGTATATTTTTTCTACAAAATTTCAATAAAAATATTGAAATATAAATGTGAATAATTAATTAGAACAGCGCTCCTCCTGAGAAAATTGAACAAGGACATTTTTATATTATTTTGTTATTGATGTTTTGGACACTGGGTTCTGAGCTACATGTGGATCAGTGACTCAGAAAGTACCAGTCAACCATCTGTATCTGTCTTAGTCACAGGGACTAAAAGTAATGAGAAATCTAAAATACTAAGTTGTTGCTGCAACAGGAATCTTCCAGTTGGGACACTTGTTCCAGTAACAACTCAGGATTTCCTAAAAAGGATAACTCAAGGAAAAACTTTTTTTTTTAATTGTAGAGTGGAGAGGAATTCAAATACATGTGCCCATCTGGGAGATTCACCCTCTCTATTTGTTATCACTCAAAGAGAAAGAAAATTCCAAATTTTGAGTGGTCACCAGAACAGGACTAGCGGGGAAATCTTCCAATGGGGCACGTGTTCTGGTGACTACTAGGGATTTCCCTCACTTTGGAAAGATTTCCTTTTCTTTCCTGTTTGGGCTAACAGGAAGTGAAGGGAAATCTCCCCAATGGGACTCAAATGGCAAAAGAGTCAGGGGTTATAACCCTCCCTTACTCTATCCAAAATGTTAAAAATGTTCTGCCTTGTTTTCTATTTTAAGCTGGTAGATTTTTGGTTAAAAAAATTTATTTTCATAGTGTTTGAATTTCCTAAATTTTTTTATTCTTAAACAATTGTTGATTCAACCCCACTGACCATTAGAAAATCAAAGAAGCAGGATAGAATTTTTTTCTCAAATTAATAAAATTCTAACTGTGAATGTTGTTTTTATTCAGAAAAAAAATGTACATATTGTAATTTTCTAGTCGCAAAAGAAACCTATTTAATACCTCTGGGATTCCATTGAAGTAGTAGGTCTGTATAAAATTTTGAGGACTTTTGAACAAAATTATTTGGCTCAATGATGGCAAGATCGAATGCTCAGAATTTTTCAGAATTTTTATATGAGCTCGAAAGAGCAGGGCCCTTGATCCCCTCATGTTTTGCATTGTATTGGTATTGTTCTGTCACATGTTCTGTCTCCCTTTGTAATGTACAGCGCTGAGCGAACTATTGGCGCTTTATAAATACTGTATAATAATAATAATAATAATAATAATATGAGCAAAGTTCTGCTGGTGTATGACCAGCTTACTTTTAGAGAGATTTCCTCTGACTTCCTGTTGTGAAGGTCAGTCTCCCAAATGGGATACATTTGTCAAAATAAAACCAGACAGAAGTTTTAGAAATTCCCTTTTTTATCTGAAGCTTGGTTTCCATTCAAGTAGTAGGACTGGATGAAATTTTAAGGGCTTTTAAACAAAATAGTTGACTCAGTAGTGGCAAGGTCAAAAGCTCTGATGAACAATTTTTCAGAATCTTCTTACAAACCTTCAAACAATATACTGGTGTATGGCCAACTTTATTTTGGAAAAAAAAATTTCCTCTCCCTTCCTGTTGTAGAGGACAATCTCCAAAATGGGATATATCTGGCAAAAAAAACACTTGACAGGGGTTTTGACAATTCCCTAGTTTAGCTGAAATTAAGAATCCATTCAAGTAGCAAGTCTGGACAAAACTTTCAAATGAAATTCGTTGACTCAATAATGGCAAGGTCAGTTACTCTGGTGAATATTTTTTCTGAAATTTCTGACAAATGTCCGACCAAAATTCTACTGATATATGGCCAGCTTTATTTTAGATTGTTTTCCTTCCTCTTTCTGTAGTGAAGATCAATCACCCAAATGCTGTGAAGGTCAATCTGAAAATATCTGGCAAAGTCTCCTCTCTCTCTTCCTGTTCTGAAGGCCAATTTCCAAAATGCTGTGAAGGTCAATCTCCAAAATATTTGGCTAAATAAAACCTGACAGGGGTTTTAGTAATCCCTTACTCTTTTCGAAAATGTATATACACTTTATTCATACACAGTATTTGAGAATATATCACTATTTAATGTCTTCAAAAGGCTCAGGAACATACAATTTGTTTTTATGAGTTTTTAACATGTTCAGTGTTATTGAGTCTTCTATTCCTTTAACACTTTGCACATGTCCGACTCTGGGGATTATTCATGAATAAAGCATGCCCTGTGAGTTGGACCTGTCCAATAAATTCAACAATATATCACAAACCCCATAGTTAGGACCACCTTGACGTACGCCATGAGAGAAGACTGGAACCATGCATTTTGCGGCAACTATGGTTTTTAATAGTTGGCTGGAATCATAAAAACATAATAACTTTGGAGGTGTCAGAGAGAATTCAAAGGATCAGTTGTGCCAGAGTTTTTGTTTAAGTTTAATGGATAGTCTTTCTAAAGAAATGCAGATTAAAATGGTTTCTGGCCACTGAATAATAATAATAATAATAATAATATAGCAATAATAAATGTATTATCATTATTATTATTATTATTATTATTATTAATAATAATAATAATAATAATAATAGCAAGAATAATAATATATTATGCTTCTGGCCTGATTAAAATAATTGTTCTCTTATCATTAAAGTGAACCTTTTATTAACTTTACAACTCTGAATAAATTCCTAGCATGTAGACTATATTCAGTATAATTTCCCAAAACAGTATAACTTTTATCATTAAAGGATATCTCCAGTTTTGTAAAAAAAAAAAAAATAGCAAATAAAAAAATGATATAGCACATTCACATATTAGACAAGCCATGTTGTAATCCTTTGTTATACATTACATTCTTTTTTAAGTTTGCAACTCCTTTCTAACTTTCTGTAAAATTCAATGCAATATGGTAACTTGAAGGAGTTCTGTAAATCACTGGTGTACAGAAGGCCCCATAAATGTAATTTCCTGCCCATGTGATTGGCTCACATGATTCTCCCGTAAGTCTGCATTAAGATACAAGTCAGATTTTAGGCATCCTCTGGCAATTTCTATTTTTATTGAGATACTCCCCAAAGGTTAAATATTTCTGAAGGGATGCAGCCATTGCAACCTTTCTCACCTGCACACTGAGAGTATACCAGATGATTATAATGAACCAGACCCTCCCATTCAGAATCAAAGGACATAGTGAAACAAACAGTTACTGCTTCAGAGCAGAAAAAGGTTGAAATCTGCTGCAAAATTTGTTAGAAAAATTGGCACAGTGAAATCAAAGTAAGCAATTTCGCTACAGAAGAGGAGCCCATGCAACAGTGCAAATCTGAAAGTAAGGCTAAGCTTTAAATGCATTGATATTAATATTAGTGCTGATTTTGTAACAATTATCATCTGCTATCAGAACCTTGTCCTTGGTGATATTTGCAAATACAAATGGTTTAATATCTACAGGTTTATGAAAATGGTATTTATTTATTTTGTTTGACCTGTATCCAGAAAATTGTGAAAAGCATGTAATAGTTGATGGTATACAAGTCATTTTTATAATTTAATATTTGTTTCAAGTGAAACTGAAGCCCCAGCATGTTTTACCCATTGGTGAGCTATAAGTTCATTATTTTCATACTTTCATTGAGTTCAACCAATAAGAATTTGTCTTAGTGACTATTGTCTTGAAGAAAGAAAATTTAGGGAGGAGGAGTAGAGGGGATGTCTTCCAGTGGAAACCCTTGTCAAAAGTGAGATTTTTTTTCTCATTTTGAGGAGGTTTCCACCTATTTCCAGTTATAAATCTGGGCGCAAGAAAATCTTCCTAGAGGGGATACAGACAGCAGTCAAATTCCTGGATAAGAGAAAATACAAGGCCACAAGTGTCCCACTCTAACCATGAGGGACAATGCCTCTATTCAAAGGATACCCAGGGAACCTAGAGGAAATTTAAGATATTTATGCAATCTTAAAAAAGGAGACCAATGCATTTCAGGGATCGGCATCCCATTCTTCAGGGCTGATTAATACACTGATGGTCCCCTTGGATAAAGGCCTTTTGGTAAAGTGGAGTGCTCATGGCCTTGTGCTTTTTCTCATCATGAAATAAATGGCAGATGTTCATTTTCAAGTAACAACATCCTCACAGAGGTTCCAACCCTTCCACATGCTATCCAAGACCAGATATATTTGCAGTTGTGCTTTTACTTTTCTTAAAAAAACAGTAGTTGGGAATATCTTGATACTAAGTTTGATACAGTATGTATAAGGTGTAGTAATTATCTGGTCTGTTCTATAGGCAAAAATGACCTTCACCTTTACAACAGCCTCCCACCACACAAACAAGAAGAGGTGGAGAAGCTCCTGACCAGCTCCTTGGAGCAGACATGGAAAAACTTAGCTGGAGAACTTGGCTACCAAGATGAACTCATAGACACCTTCACACAGGATGAGTTCCCAGTACGAGCGCTGCTTTCTGACTGGTCCAACAAGGACAGCGCCACCACCGATGCCCTCTACACAGCTCTTCGCAAAATACAGAGGGAGGATATCGCCCAGAGCTTGTACAGCGACTCTACTGCTACCTCGCCAGTGTAACCGAGACATAGTAGGACAGAAGGAAGATGTTTCATATTGATATCACTCAATGGAGCATCCCGCACGAGATGTGAAGGAAAGTTTGCCCCTTTGCCCCCTGAAATCCCCCAACCTCCCTTTATACCCAGTATTAACGGACAATCCGTCTGCACTGAAGCATTATTTTCAGTATTGTGGTGTGTAATCTTCTCTATGGACCTCTCATGTCCTGCATCTCCAGGTTTCTCACTGTGATGGACCTAAGACTTTAAGATAAGGAGTTGCAAGCTATGGATGTTCAGACATTGTTTTGAGAATTCCAAGGTGCACCCACCTCCCTCTTTCTCCGGTCTTTTTAAATCTTCTAGGTTTTATGTTTTTTTATAGGCCTTGACTGGTGACCCCCTCCCCCTGCCCCCCCAAAAACCCTAGTGGCTGCAGCCCTCTAGAATCTTTTTAAGGGAATTTGAGGGCTTTGTGCAGTAGAGGGTTATTGTGGCTCTAGATTCTGAAGGTTATTTTACAGTCGCACTTAGAAATACAGCACCTTATGCTGCACAAAGATTGTGCCCAAATTCTAGAGTGTTAATAATTCATTCAGGTAATGCTGCTTAATGACCCAGAGATATTCTTAAATGTACCCATTGTCTACATCTACGATATCATTGATATCCAGTGTTAACGTCTTCGAAGCCTTAGTGTTAATGCCTTAGGAGCAATCAGAACCTAGCTTTCATTCCTCTATAACCATATAAAAGATTAAAACAAGTATCTAATGGTGTAGCCAAACAACTTACAGTAGGCCGTGTCAAAAGACACCTCTAGGTCCCTGTTGTCTCTTGCTTGTGACATATAACCTGCTCTATTCTCCTTTTCCTCCATTTTCACAATGACCTCCAAGTAGAAAAGGTTTTCTTCCTTCTGTGAGGCTAAAAAAATCTGCTGACTCTTTCATGTTTTTGTTCCTTTGGATAAACAGTAGAGTTTATGGCCATTAGCTAAACTGCTACATAAAGCTGTGATAACAGATTCCCTACTGTTAAAGGTAATATTGCAAAGCGCAAAGCAAACTGTTGGCGCTATATAAATCCTGTATAATAATAAGAATACTTGCAACCATACAGATAGCCATAGCGGCTGGGGTTGTTTTACAAATCAAGGGAAGCATTCAATTCGAACCAAAAATCCATTATATAAAACTGGTAATTGTGACAAACATAGCTTAGTACTTTTATAAAAAGTTCATAAAATCTATAAAAAAAAACACCTGTGGGCTTATGTCAATTGGCAAATTAATTGACATAGGTTTGGGATTCTTCTTAGATCATTGACAGTTCAATGAGTGGTCCATCTGACCCACATTGACCTGTTTCTAATCTGCATCAACTTGCTGTAGGCTGATTTTGCTGTCACCTATTGATTTGAATGGGGAAAGAAGCAGTTCTGGTGTGAACAAAGACGATCGATCCAGGCCCTTAGCATAGTAGATGTTTTGTTTTTAAGTTTCTAGCAAAGAAAAAAGGTTACACAAAGCATGTTAATGTGGCAAATGTTTCCACTATCACACTTCTTTTCTGTAATACTACATAGTGGAATAATAAGTCATTCAATATAGTAACCAATATAAAAAAGCGTTGAGCAGATTAGTGTAGTCAGACAAAGCAAAGTTGATTTCTGGTTGGCTGCTAGGCATTTAAACTTGCAGTACTGTGACCTCAATGGCTTAGATGTAAGCAATGGGAAGACATTATCACTATATGCCTTTGGCTTCAGCAAGGCAAATTCATTGCATCAGTCGTATAATACAATCCAGATGACGTCTGTTGTCACAGGCCACCTTATACTCCTACAGATGACAAATGAACTACCATTACGTTCTATCACAACTGGTGATAGACAAATATATCACATGGGTAAAAATCTCATATATAACTCCATCTCTTTAGCAGAACATATATTTTAAGGTAAGGAAGTGAAGTGATTGACTTTGTTTTTTAACCAGTTTGGCCTGTGCAGGCGTTTGAAGTATCCACTGCAACCAATGTCACATTTCTAGTTTGGCTGCTTGGCATAACTGTACATCCAGGTATGGAGGTGCATGTGTTTCAGTCCCTTTCCTTTCATTTGACAGTGCTTGTGCTTGGCCCAGCTCTGTCACATGGGAGTGGGGAGATAGATTTCACCCAGGGGCGGACTGACCATTTGGAAACTCGGGCACTGCCCGAGGGCCCGGGGTCAGTAGGGGGCCCCATAAGATGCCCCTGCTACCTTTTTCATAGGCTTTTTTGAGCTTGGGCAAGGACACAGGGGCCCCATGATCCCCTTTTGCCCGGGTCCCCATGAGTTGTCAGTCCGCCCCTGATTTCACCCCTTTGTAAGCTTTAACTAGAATCAACGTAGAGCTTACACAATGCTTCCTTTTCTTTGCCCTAGCAGCCAAGCAAAATTGAAGTGTCAGTTGCTTCAGGGACCAGCTTAAAAAGTGAACCTTTTGTTTTGCCCTTCACAGGTTCATTTTAAAGCTTGACTCTGGGAAATCAGAAAACTCCTCCTTGCAATGGGGCTGCGCCCACACCACAGGGGTTAACTGCTCACTTGGGTCTAGGGGAGAGTAAAAACTTACCCAATCTCCAGTCCCCTGGCAGATGGTGCTCCTCTGCTTCATCATGTCAGGATCTTAGACCAGTAGAGCATGAGGGAGAAGACACTGCAGGACTGGTCTAGCTCTACGGAGAAGTAAGTAAATCTTCTTTTCCATGTCCCCTAGACATAAACAAGCAGTTAACCTTTGCCATGCGGGCACAGCCCTACTACAACGAAGAAGGTTCAAGTTTCCCACAGTTGGCGTTAAATAATGATGGATACAGTACAGCAAATGTATGCAAATTGGAACATCCAGAGAACTTATAATAGGACTAAGAGCAGCAAGACAGGTTTGCTAGCCACACAATGTAAGCACTTACCAATGGGTTCAGTGGAGCCTCTACATGTCTGCAGAATCATAGGGGAAGAATATAGGTTGAATGTTTTATTTCTAAAGCTGAAAACATTTCACTTTCCTGTCTTATGGTCAGAAAAATGGAGCTATGTCTTAAAGTGGGCCAATTATTCATCATTAGGTACAGCAAGAAGCAAAATTACATCTGCTCACATTTTTTCTAATAATATTTAGTAAGCAATCTTGTTTCACTAGCAAGTGTTCCACCACGTTATGATTCTCCTTGTTTAGGTGCACAGACAATCGCAACATTTACAGCAAAAGTGATAAATATCAAGGCAGGTTAATCAGGTTGGCTATATAATGAACTACAGGCTTGACTTCGATTATGTGTATAGTATAGATAGGCCTTGAAGCCTATTCACTGATAAAATAATGTGGCCATCCATGTACAGAAGTTGGGATTGAGTATTTTAGCCATAGGAAAGTGATCACTTGGCAGGTGATAGGTTTCCATTATATCTTCTCTTTGCTCATACCAGTTACGAGTCAATGAATGGCTTTACAAGGCCCATGTACATTGTAGCAACAAATGTAAAAAATGAAAAGAAAAAAATACAAAATAGCCTTGTTCTGACCTAAAATGCCTAAAAGGCTGAGCTTGAAGGTCATGTTGTACATATTTCTTAGACGTATAGTAGCCATTTTGAAGATAGAAGTAGTCTAGTCTCAGCTAGAGACCATGCAAGTTTTATGTAGTAATGACAATGATTCACTAAAAGAGTAAAAAATTTCACTTTGCAATGTGACTTTTTTGCTAATTTAGTGAGTACATTGGCATTGAGTTCCATCATCCAATCATGATCAAGCAAACCTGTTTTTTTTTCATCTCCGCCGCACATGATTGGGTATTAAGAGTGAACATTTCACTATATTTTTAAACTTAGTGAACACACACTTTGCTAAGTGAACCTGCTCTTCTAGCAAATCAACCAAATGAGTTATATGAGATTATATTATCACTACCCAAGTCTCAGCTACAAAATGCCCACCACTAGCACCACTCCACCATACGTTGCTAGTAGAAGTCTTTGGTTAGCTAGCCTAGCCCTGAAGTCATGTATTTGTGTTGTGGTCAAGAGATGTTATTGGTACTATCCATAGCTCAAACAGGTACTTTTATTCTGATATAACATAGAGGGCAGTGCACAAGCATGGGACAGTCCCTTGAAGCACAGAACTAAAGCAAATACGTTTTGGGTTAAAAACATGAAGGCTATATCGATGCTTATTGCTCCGTATTCAATTTGTCAGCTGCTTCAACCATGTTAGTATACTTCCTCTGCATATACAGTATGATCTAAATATACATCTAAACTCCATAAACTAGTATTAGTGTGAACAGAACTTACCATCTTAATTTTGCCACATTACATAACCCTTGTGCCGTATGTCTACAAATTCCAGCCTTGTTATGATAGACAGCCATCATAATTACCTCCAGTCTGTGACACACTCAGGGATAAAATGGGCAGGTATATCATTATCCATACATGAGAGTTTTCTTGATATTAGTGAGCGGTCCTTCTGCTATATTGTATAGTCTTGTTACTTAAATGAAACCCAGAAAAAGAGGAGAAAGGGCCTCATGTATGAAAAACCGAGGGTACAAAATAGAGGTGTTGTCCACAGCAACCAAATTACCTTTGTTCTCGTGTACTGACGGAGCATCAGTTTTCACTAAGAGAATGGTCAATTTACATAAACTTGTGAGTTTCAAACTGAGCGTACAATAAAAAGCATGGGTCACCTTCAGTGTTAAAAGAACAAATGTCAAAATGATCAGTAGACTCAGAAATGGAAAAAAATGAAGATATGCTAATGTTGGTTTTTCCTGAAAGTCACACTTGGTCCCACCCGCTCTAAACACATCAAATGCTCACATAGGTGAATGAAATGTCATTTGGATTTTTAGAGATTGCAAACCTGTGAAAAAAGATGCTTTCGTACCAATTTGCGCACTCGCCAACCCAACTTGATCTCATCTCATCATAATGTTAAGCCACCAGTTTAGGAGTTTGATCGGTTTACTTCCATTCTCAACAATTGCCCTGAGTTCAGTCTGAGTTCTTGAAGTGGTTTTAGTAAACATTAGATTTGGTGATTTTTGGGTTCAAACAAGGTAATGCAGAGTTGTGGTCTCTTTTAAGATTGATTTTTGTGGCGCTCACAGAGCCATTTATAAAATAGGAACATAAGGGTTGACTGGTGACCAATAGGTTCTCATGAAGGTGAAACAGGGAATTTGCCTGGCTGCTGTGGACAACATATTCTTTTCTCCATTTTATTAATTATTAGACCCAATTTGGGATATAAGGTATGTATGTTTTTATAGACTGTGTTAAAATCTTTTCATATAATATGCAGAACTAAGACTCTGTTTGGCTCCATTACATGGATTTAAAGAGTTAAAAAGAAAATTAAAAGGAAAGACTCAACATTTGTAAATTAGACAAAATGGTCAGGTTTTGCTAATCTCAGTTGAAAGTATGTACTTTAATGCAAGGGTTTTTATGAAACATGAAAGGATGCAGATAGGAGCAATATCATTTGTTTTGCTCAAAGCAATTAATTTGTTTCTTCGGGACAGATTTACTAAGCAGGAGCTAAGAAGACTAGAACTGTGCCCATCAGTAGCCAGATTCTTGGCAGCAGTTGAAAGATTAACCTGGTTGCCTGGAAGGATAAAACTGGGCACCAAACCCACCTTTTCTTCAACTTTGTCGGCCACGTATTGGACTGAACCAACTATCCATCTGTTAGTTTAGGAATAAAAAAGGGACTAGCTCAATATTTTTGGGACATTGTCATCCACCTGTAGTCATCTTTATATCATTTTCTGGATCATACTGTTACACTTATGGCTTATGTAATGAGTGATGCATGGAGCAACCACCAATCAAAAATCAGCCTTCACAAGTCAGCCCTATTTAAGCCGCAGAAAGCTAGTTTATGATTGGCTGCCAGCTTGCCATTGGCTATACTGCTCCACTCCTTTTACTCTTATTAGATAAGCCAAGTAAACTTTCTTCACTCTGTTTTATTCTGGTATCCTTTAACAGACCAAGTATGGTGGGCAATAAATACCAAAACACTGTGGTGTTAACTGATCACTAGTTAATGTAAGATAACTGAACACTAACCGGTCTTCGGAAATTAAAACAGGCAATGCCTAACATAAGCCATATTAATGCTTTGTATAATCCTTCCTCCCTGACTTCTGTCTCTGGCATTCCGTCTCCTTTAACCCAAGCAGTTCCTGTCCTCTTGTTCCAGCAACAGCACTTATTGGCGACTATCAGCCGCAACGTTAACATGCTGATAAATTGCTACTGGAATGTATTATTTAAAGGGTTGTTCGAACCAAAAAGTCTTTCATTTAGATTGATGGGCATCATTTTAAAGCTTGACACACAAATTATAGTCTGATGGTACAAACCCCATTTAGATCTAGCAACAACTGTACAAGGGCCTTCCTGGCCCAATATAAATGGAATGGATTGTTTAGGTACAACCTCATGTTACATAGTTTTGGTAAATCTGAAGGAAAAAACAGATTGTACAATCGGATTGTAAAGAGGTATGACCAGCTTACCCAGTTATCAGTTTCTCAGGGACTCTGGAAGTGAGGACTATTCCCTTCGTTCCCCCTTTACATTGTGAGGAAAACCTAAGGACACAGCGAGATTTCTGCTGCAGTAGAAGGAGTTAGACTTGGGGGGCATGATCAGACAGATCTCACTGTTAAAGTCACCAAGATATTTAAAGCGCAAGCAGTTGACTCTGCTTAGCCACACCTACTTGTAACTGTAAAATCAGTTTGGCATGAACCATTGGTGGACTGACCATTTGGAAACTCCGGCACTGCCCGAGGGCCTGGGGTCAGTAGGGGGCCCCATGAGATGCCCTGGTACCTTTTTCATAGGCTTTTTTGAGTTTGGGCAAGGACACGGGCCCCAGGATCCCCTATTGCCCGGGGGCCCCATGAGTTGTCAGTCCGCCCCTGGCATGGACTGACCCTTTAAGTTTCTCTTCTTGCTCGGTTTAGAGGATTCCTCCTTCATATTACTATGCTGTTTTGTTTTAATAATTCATTTTGTGCTTCTCCGTATTGGTTTATACAGCATCAAGTAGAGTTGTTGGGTTTAAGCACTTGTAGATGCTGTACCTTTGAATGCTTCCATATAAAACACATTAGGCTCAATTCATCAAATCTATGGTTTGTGAGGCCGGATTCAGAGCTTTGCTTTGTGA